GGTGGTTAATGGATTAATCAAAACAGGATTAATGTTACACAGAACCGAAATTTCGGGTAGTGCCTCAAAAAATATCGGTATCGCGATTACGTGCGGGTAAGTCTAATTTCAAAATCTAATAGGAAAATGTGATGGAAGAATATAACATCACGAAAGCGGAATTTTCTGCGCAATAATACGATTGTCATTCACGATTAAGTTATCGGTTAGAAAAAGATAAGAACTCGAGCGGTCAGCGGTATCGAAGGAGCGCGATCGACAAGTAATTCTCGTTGTTAAGTGACATCCTTGGCAAAGGGCCACAGGTCTTGCCACGGCTAACGTGTCGTTCGATGGGAAGTTTGCGCAAATTCTATTTCTAGTCTACAGCCGATAAACTTGCGGCGATGAGCCGCGTTAAAAAGAGATCCTAAGCTTAGATGATCTTCGTTTACGCCTTGACTTTCGTATTTCTTTCTATCCTCCTCCCTTTTTCTCCAACCTTCGCAGAGCCTGCTCGCGCTTACTCCTCTCCTGCAGATCGAGCTATCGAGGCGATTTTCGTCTCGCGAGAATTTCCACGGGGTTATCGCGACGATTTTATTGCGCCATGAGTTTTCCACGTTGTTTCGATTCCCATAAGCAGCGAAACGAGGGTCGAAGGGAGGAAGAGAAGTGTTACTCGAGCCGGGAATAAAAATTGAAGTTACCGTGCTCGGCAAAATGCATAGGAAACTACACGAGTATATTTCCGTTAATGATAATAATACAGAGCTCACCGACGTTGTATTTGTAACGGCGAACATAATTTACTTCTCGCAAAGTGTTTTAATTGCATCTACGTGAATTTAAAAGTACAAGTACTGGTGAACACGGAGTGAAGTGTACAACTTGCGCGCATCGGAGCGCATTTACGTGAATGATAATGTCGGCTATAACGAGAGAGAAAGAAAGAAAGAGAGAGGGAAGGAGGGAGAAAGAGAGAGAGAGAGAGAGAGAAAGAAAGAGAGAGAGAAAACGATGCTTGGAACGATATAAAGCGGGTCGCTGCGTTCTAGATTTTTTAGGACAAGCCTTGTTAAACTTTATCGTCGCGATATATTTTTTTTATTTCCCACATTTTTGTTCTACATTCGTGGCTGCGCGAATATATAAATTAGAATGCTACACTTTTTAAAATATTTTTAATTAGGAGAGACGAAGAATTATCTCGACCGGAATTAACCGTTGTTTACGAAAAAAAAAGAAAGGAAGGAAGAAAACAGCTCATGCGCCGCGCCTCCTGAGGCTTAAACTTAAGACGCCACCGCGCTTTGATAAAACGGCCGCAACCGCGAACTTTACGCTCGCCATCGCGGTTCCGTCGCGTTATGCAGATAGAAAAATGTTAGTAATTAATCTAGTCCGTGACAGCGAGCAATGGCTCCTCGCTAGTTGGGGCCGAAGAGCGCGCGCGGGGTACAGTATTAATCATGATTAAAGTGCCGCACGCAGAAGGTGCTGCGTCAAGTGTTGTTTCAACATTCTTCCCGGCTAACGAACGATCGTCGGATAAATTCTTTATCCAGATCACACTCTCGACAGGCTATTCCGGTGTGCACTCGCCTCAAATTATAATCGAATAAATGAAAGCAAAGTGGATCCGTTATAAAATTATCGCGTAGAAAATCCAGAAGCAGTACCACACCGCTCCTCTAATGTCAGCGTGCAGGATAATCATATAATTCCTGCGGAGAGAGAGCACAGCGATATCCTGTACCTATAAGGATATGTCATTAAAAATCAATCCGTCCAGGTGGACTTCAATTAAGAGATGTTGATAACGTGTAACAATTATCGAGGAATTTCTTGAGCGGCATGAAATCAAAATTACACGTCGAGTAGCGTTTTGGTGTAACGTAATACCGTGTCGTATCTCGCACAGGCATCGGTTAAGAGGACCTAGTCACGCAATATTCACAATGATCGCATTCCAAACGCTTCGTAATATTAATTAGTTTTATCATCTGCCGCCATGTCAGGAAGAACGAAATATGGACAATCGATGCGAAAAGCGGCACGACGGCGTGTAATAATTAATCCGTTCGGGGTATCTTTAATCGTGGACGACCTCGTGAAAACTACGGTCTCGTAATCGATACACCGCGCCCGCTATTAGAAGGCGACTTGTGTAATTCGACTTAATTATTGCGATAAAATGTTTCATTAGAATCGCCTTTCCCGCCCTCTCAAAATCACGAGATCGATGATAAAAAATAATGGGTGATTAAGGCAGCTTTTAGTGCCCCGTACACTGAGAAAAATATAGTTGCCTTTGGCGTCAACTATACGCTTTTGTGATTTTAACCACAAAAATAATTAGAAGAACCATTATTTTAGTAAGTGTTATTAGAAAGATGGTTCTTCTAATTATTTTTCTGGTTAAAATCACAAAAAAGTATAGTTGACGCCGAAATCAACTATATTTTTCTCTCAGTGAATACGCACATACGATTACGAGGGTTATTTTAGTTTCCATTTTCTTTTTTAATTTTTTTTTTGCATAGGTATTGTATTTAATTTTTTTTTGCATAGGATCGTTTACCGAACAACGTATTGGTGTAACGTTGATGGATATTTATTAATAAGTAAGAGTAGTCGAATATACTCTCGAGAAAAACAAGAAAACTCTACGATTCACTCGCGTCGCGTGTCTTGACTACTTTCGCACTCTATCTCAGTCTTACGGCCCTAAAAGGGCTCTCTCTCTCTTCTCTCAATTCTCAACTCTAACCTCGACCTCAACTCAACTCTCCTCAGCTTAACTCTCTTGAGCTTTGCTCGCGTTAATTGCACACTCATTGACGGGATCTCACGCGGTGAAGGACGACCAATAGACGCTCGCAGGACGCTTAATAATAATAATAGTAATGGAAACTATAAGTTATTACAATTACACGAGGCGAGATCAGCTACAAGTGCGTCTACAAGCCTTATGATCGACTACTTTGTGCGTCCAAGATCACGAAAAAGACTTGTGGTTGTGGCAAAAATCGCGCCGAGTCGATCTCCGAAGTAATTCAATAAGACGTAATCCGCATAGTCGCAACAGTACGGCGAAGGAATCGAGTCACGCAATATGCAAGGAGATGTTGTTCCGGACATCCGGCGACGTTGATTAACTTACACGGGCCGCGTGCCGCGCGTACCGTCGTATTTTCAATTTCAGCTTCATTAAACCCGATTGTCCTTCGCAGAATGCTCAGGTACGTAACACGGGGGAATATGAGGGCGCACCGGCGCGACGGCGCCCGTGGCACGCAAAGCAGTTCGACGCTTGGCGCGACTGACATTTCTGTTGGATTCTGGTGCGCCATAACGCCAGACTTGAAATGCACTTGAAAATGGTCGCGGCGCGTATTAATATCTCGATCGCGCGCTAAGCCCGCCGAAATATTCGGCGAGCGCGAATGTCCGCCGTCCGCGTGAAACCCATGTCGAGTCCGCGAAGCGTCTGCAATTAATTTCCCGTGCGAAAACGCGTTCGCAACGGTGCGCAACGATTGCGTGAATTGCGTCGCATTGCGGCAAATTTTCGCGCGAGAAGAATGTTTATCGTCTCAAAAATAGAACTCTCGCCTCCGAAGGGTCACGCTGCGCGCTTGCGACTTTTTGGCGCGTGTATCAGCGAATCATATCTCTCGCGCTTTCACAGCCGTGCTCGATCCGTACGATGGAAAGTTCCACGTGGCACATAGCCGTCCGTTCGCTTCCTTCTTAATTAAAATCTGTAAAAATGTCGAGTCATTAGGGATCTTATATCGAGCCGAAATGAAAAGAAGTGCACTCGCACGTGCGCGAGAAATAGAATTCAAGATTCGAGGAGCTTTCAGCCCGCGCTACCTCTTTCAGCCTCGTGTATCCGTGAGTCGTCGTTTCTCGCGTTATTGTGCCGCGAACGTGATACGTTTCCATGTAGAAAGTCATTTGCGAAGCTTCGCATAACTGGTGGCGAGTGAGTCACATGCATTCAATATAAATTCCCGGAATGACCGGCGGGGGCGATGAGCACGAAGACTACGACTACAACTTCAGCGGTGGCTGACGCGCCGCGCTCAGGTTTGTCAACAGGAAATAAAGCCGGTCATTTTGCGGGGGTTGAAAGACGCGGAGATCCCAGTCGTTCTCTCGGCGTATATCGAGTGGCGGATAATTCGCGTCCGCTTGACGAAGCGCGTGTAAAACGCGGCTGAGGAGAGGCAACCCGTCTCGAATTAAGCCGGAGGCTCGCGACGGTCGCGTGGCAGACGACCTTAATGGCCGGAAATATTTTATGGTGTGCACTTTTGGGCTGTCGCCGAATTTAGGACGAAGGTCGCGACGGCCGAGAGCGGGGAACGCCGGATCCGGCGATTCCGTCCGTCGCGCCTCGCCGCGACGCTCGGTCACGGCGACAAACGTGCGGATCTTCGAGTCGCCGGCGTCGCTGGTTAAGACGCCTGAAATCCGGCTCCCAACTGGATCGGACACACTTTATTCATACTGTATTGTGTGTCGTGACCTGAAGCGTATACTTCTCATATGGCACAGCGTCGGGATAACTACCATTATTCGCGCTCGATAGAACAGACCGGGCGACGTGTCATGTCCACTCACGAGCGAGCCATTGGGGGTAAATATAAATGCCAGAACGCTCTCCCGGATTATTGTTAACGAGCGAAGCGTCCATCTTGTATAGGCTTACGGCGAATCGTTAATTTTAGGCACTCCGAGAATACATTCGCGGCTGCGTATCTTAATGAGTTACTGAAGAGACACGGCGGATTTAACGATGCCACTGTGCGGCCGCGGCCATTATTAGGACCGAAATATCGCCGACTCCTCTCCTTCCCGTTTCGCTCTAAGAGAATCGCCTTGAAAAAACAAATCCGTCGTCGCGTCGTATGTCAAAAGCTGTCGGTTGCGAGGCGCGCTTCCGAGGAACTTTGCGCGCGAATCGTTCCTCTTTAATCTCATCAGCTTCTTCGCTCTCTTGCTTTCAGGTCGAAGCTTTTTAGTGGCGAACTCGCAGCAGGGACTATGCCACATTATTTACTGCTCGGACGGTTTCTGCCGGCTGACGGGCTTCTCAAGGGCGGAAGTGATGCAGAGGCCGGCGGTCTGCGACTTCCTCCATGGACCAATGACGTCGCCGCACGCGGTCGCGGCCCTTCGAGACGCCCTCGCCGCCGGCGCCGAAAAGCATTTCGAGATCCTATACTACAGGAAAGATGGTCAGTGTTGTCTTTCTTAACTATCCTTTGCGCGCAGTCGCGGATTCCTGTCGCACGACCGCTCGCATTGTGCGCCACGTATATGCATGATGACGTTGACGTAAGCTAGTTGACAGTCTAAAGTCGCGAGTTATGTAAAAACCAACATAATTTGGAAAAGTTAAGAGCAGAGACGACTTGAATTGATAGCTTCTAAAGTTGCACGATATAGTAAAATATTAAGTTTGCGGGATAGACTTTGTAATAACGTAAGATACATAAATCCGAAGTGTAAAAATATACGGGTCACTTTTCAACTTTTCAATTGCCGGTCTATGACTGTTTAGATATGCGTATGTCATACGTGCGGCGCATCGTGATGAGTTCGCAGTGGGTCGTACGTCGTTATATTCTCGTCCTTGTACGTGTCTGTGTGTACATGAAAGCTAGGAGCGCACGTATTGCGCACTAAAGATAGCTTAGGAAAGAGAGTGATTCGCACGAAATCCGGATATTCCCGGATTTTGTTGCCGTCTTAAGGATGCTTCTCTGAGAAGGTGAAAAATATTTTTTGCTTCCACCGCGCGCACGGTTCACGCGAATGTCGTTGTTTCCGGCCTGGAGCAGGCGTGCGAGATAAACATCCGCGCGAGGTGTCGCGCCGCGCTAACTTTACGGTTATTGCCGGCGGAAATAAATCAATATAACGCGTTGTCGCAGGTAGAGATTTATTGGACGTTAGCAGCAAAGTCGCGCGAACGTAGCAGTATGCACCAGCCATCTTCTGCGTTCTCCGCGTTTCCTCCGAAACAGATGTCGTGGGATTTCCACGAGAACGTGCAACATCCAGTTAAGCGTGTAAATTGCCGGGTTTGATGTAAAAAAAATATCGTTTGCATTTCACGGCCGGGCGTTCTTTATTTCCTAACTTAGATTCGATGGATTTTTCAACGTAGCACTCCGTCTTGATTTGCGCGCCAACACTTCACGATTACGCCAAATCGATTAGACACTCCGACTAAGATCTCGTTCCCTTGGAACGAAGCGAGACGTGGCTTTCTCAGATGTAAGGCGGATGTAACAGGGGCTCGGTTATTTGGAGCAGGAAGATTGAATTTGTTCGCAGGCCAGTGGTTACTTCGAACTCGATTTTGCCGTAGTGTCTGACCTTAGCCCCGCGGTGAAATCAATAGTCACTACTGTATAATTTATCATAGTCATAGTGCGGAACCTCCTACCTAGGTTAGGGTTTATATAGACACGTGCAGCCAGCCTAACTTCCTGGATTTTTCGGGCGACGTTACAACATAAATACCACTTATATAAACTTAACTTCATCTGTCAAAACCGAATTAATGGTTACATTTCGGTTTATCTCCCCGAACGATATATACGATACATGAGTGCAATGGTAAAGTTGTAATCTTCAAGTACATATCTCCAAGTACATACAGAGTGAAGTGACACGTATTATAATGTTTCCTCCGAGATCAGGCAACAATGCGCATAATTGTGACTGTTAGTTGAGTTAAAAGCTGTCGTGACACTGCAACACGCAGGAATACATTCACAACGAATTCTCACTCTCGCTCTCTCTCTTGTTCCTACCTCGACTCGGCGCCACTCGGCTCGACGCCACTCGGCTCGACGCTGCGGCGGAACAAAAAGTTCGCTCGCTTTACCCCTTTTCTTAGTTCTCTCGAGATGGACGGGCACTTTGCTCCGTCGTGAGACGCCCGGCACGTTAATTAAGGGGCTTAATTAAACCTCGCTACGCGGAAACCTAGGAGTGTCGATGGAGCGACATGCGGAGAGCGCGCCACGAACACCTGCAGCCACTTCCCGGAGCAAAACACTGCGAGTGTTAGCGTAGGAGATTCACGGATAGTTACGCGGCACAGTGATTCCACCCTTTGTTGAAACAACAAACTCCCGCTCTTCCTGGAGCACGCGTCATGTGACGTTGATGGCCACTTCGCAAGCCGAAGGAAAGCGCGCGATAGCCTCTCGGGAGCCAGCAGAACGAAGCAGGGCAAAGAATAGTTCGCCCCGATATGGACAATTTTCCAATCATGGATAACTTGAGCCTATAAACCTATTCTTATCCACGTTACTTGTTATTTTTATCATTTCCATCCTTCTCACACAGTATTGCGCCGCAGCGAGCGAGGCACGTCTTTCTCTCCCCGTTTCCTCTCCCTTTTTTCTCCCTTTTTTTAATTTTTTCTCGCGCTAACAAAAGACTAACAGCGAAAGCTAATCGTATGATGGATTACGGCTATCGTTGAATTATTATCGTCCCTCGCATCAACCGTATCTGGCTCACTGGAGAATCGATTTGCGAAACAATGGAAAGCGTACGTCTTCGTGAGAGTTAACGCAACGCCAGCTTTACAACGCGCGCCCTTGGATGCGCGCCTCTATCTACCGACAGTTGCGAGCATAGAAAATTAATCAATGGTCTGTCGAGTTTCAAACACACTACGACTCCGTGCATTAGACAAGACTACAGTTAGCTAATTACGCGGAACTTTTAACGGCTGAAATATGTATCGATAGTGCGAAACTCGAGAGAAAGAAAGAAAAAGAGAAAAGTTAAAATTAGAATTAAAATTAGAATTTTTTAAAGAATGGAGTCAACATTAAGGAGTTCTCCGGCATGTCAAAAGTTTGTTATAGAAGCCAGTTATTAAAAGTAAGGATGATAAATTCACATAAAAATACGTCTCGTCGTAATGTCTCAACGATTCAGTTTTATTTTCCTCCAACAGCAGATGATTAAGATCAATAATAAAATCGCACAGCTCGCGAGATCGGATAAATTGCCATTGTATATAACCTGTGACAGCATATAATTGATAGTTGTCTACCAGCTCGTTTTTATGGATGGACGTAACGCGACAAAAAATTATAATTCAAATTAAAAGAGCGATTAATGGGCTCTGACTACGAAGATCACAGACAGATAAGAGTGAGCATGCATCAGTTATCCTGCCACAGTCACGATAACACTCGTTCATTAACACTAGCCGTTAGTCCTTTCGCGTTTAATGGAGTGAACTTACCAGGGGGTGAAGAGACATTACTGACAAATCGATTTCACTGCAGCAAAGAAACTTCTCGTCGGGCAAGTACTAGTTTGCTAAATTGACTTATCATAGTTTGCGAGGATCGATCGATATATGCGATAATAATAGTAACAACTGCGATTTAACGCGCGCACGACAGCATTTATCATGATTTCTGCAGATTTTTTGTCGTTTACGAATTCGAAAACTTTTAGTAATACAGCTTGATACTTAGTCGCATAAAAAATCGGATCAACTGATAATAATTGCGTCTTCGTGATATTTGCTCCGTTTTCTCTCTCTCTCTCTCTCTCTCTCTCCTCTCTCTGTCTCTCTTTCTCTCTCCATTTCGCTCGATCTCTCCCGTCTCCCTCTCCTCTTCCGCGATAGCCATTTCGCGAGCGCCTCCTTCAGAAAAGCTCTCACGTAGTTACGCAACAGCGGCCGCGAGGACGGTGTTTTGAGGCGTCCAAGAATAGTCCCGTGCTCGTATTCCACCCCCCTTCTCTTGTTCCTGAAACGTCCACCGATGCCTCCTTCTCCACCTCCACCTCTTACTCCTCTTACTCCTCCGTCGTACTCCGCGTTTCGCGCGGTATCCCCTCCCGAACAGCGCAGCGTCATTTAGTCAATGACATCACGGAGGCGCTCACCCCCTCTCGCGTGTTTGGTCCACCGGTGGCGTCTACCACGTGTGACGTCATCAACAGCCTACCTACGTCGCGCCCTCCAGCCCTCTCCACCCGACCGGCATCCAACGCCATCGGCAGCTGGCGATGGCTGCAAGCTCAGCGTGAGCCACAAAGCTCTCTGTGGCGTCATAGGACAACGACCCGCCGACTGGCGTTCGAGGCGCGCCATGGCCGGTCGGTCGGTCGGTCGGTCGGTCGGTCGGTCGATCGGCGCTTCGGCACGGACCGAGGCCGCAAGCCTCGCCTCGATTTCGAAAGCTCCGGCCGTAAGCTCGCCGGGGAACGGCCGCGGCGCGGCCCGTACGGCACCGCCTGAGACGCGGGCTTGCAGTCTCCGCGGCGACAGCGAGCCGAGCTTTCGTTGAGTGTATGGCCCGTTCATTCGCTCGCGAGAGTAGGTGATCCCCTTCGCAGTGTCGTTGTTGGCAAAGCAAACGTACCGTGACGATGACGCGTCGGCGGCGGTCGGGCTGATCGAACTTGCAGCTTTCGGTGCATCGCGAGTTCCGTCGCGTAAAACAGATGGACGCGATGCTGAGACATAGCGGTAACTTGGATACGAGGGTACATCAAATTGCAGAGGCCGTACGATAAATATAGTAATTACCGCCACGAAATAGCGACCGCAATTGGCGAATGCAATCGATGACAATCGAGACATCGCCGTTCGTGTAAGCGTGTGGTACAAGTTTACGATCAGCGAGATAACGCAACTTTTGGTTCGCTGATCGAACTTGCGGCTTTCGGCTTAACGATATCGAGCTGCACGTGGAACGCTAAGAGTAGCGCTTTTTATTTCTTTTGTTGCCATTATGAAGAAATTACGTTAAAATTTGAATATAAAAATTGAATCGTATGCATACACAGCTAGTGATAACGCGATTATCTACATGATGCAAAGAAGTTACGTCATTCCCCTGTTTTGCAATTTTACGACGCGTTTCTCCTTCACGATGTAAGATCTCACGGGTATATTCAACGAAGATGTTTGGAGTGGCGTTTCTCGAGCTTCAAAATGCATCTCGCTCTACCGTCGTTGCGGAGAACCATGCTTTACCGGGAGGTGTCGATGTATTGATCACCCGAATGCGCAATTTCGTCGACGCTGCGTTATCTGACCTGTTTGGTGAATAAATTCCGACTTCCGGATTATTTCCGATATCGGCGTCGTCAATGCCGACGTCGGGATAAAACTCGCACGTCGCGTGCTCCGGGAAAATCCGCAACGAACCGCAACGCGAACTATAAAATTTCTCCACGG